ATGTCTATAAAAGCCTAGTTTTCTGCCTGTTAGCTAAATAATTGACAACGCTTAAAATAATCAGGAGCAAATGAACAAAACGAAGACAATTGTGGCAGAAAGAAGCAAACAAAGGATTCTCAAGGCTGCAAATGCTTTTTGTGTGAGTCCTCTTTCATTCTCTTTAGCAACCTGTATTAAAAGTCTGGTCAGGTTTACACTTGCACTTCTGTGGGGAAAATTTGTTGCCAGCCTGCTGTTTGAACCATACATCATAGGGGACTGAAAACTGGCAAGGACACTAGCATTTATCCTGTAAAAATTGATAAATAAATAAAAATTCTGTTTTGATTCAGGTTTTATTCTCCTGCATTTTATGACTTTTGAGAAAGCTGCTTTGGCAGGCAAGTGTATATCAGCTTGGTTTGGTGAACCTCCTGCATTGTGTTTGGAATATGGACTCAGAGACACTCTGGCAAATGCTGTTTCCAGCTCCAAATTCTGAGCAGAATATATTGAGTGCGCACATGTATCCGAGTGCAGCTGTGCCAGGAATTTTTACAGGAATACAACCTTCACAAAAACAGAGGCATGAATATTTAGCAAAATAGCATTAGAAAGTAACCCTAATTTTCAGACAGCTTTTTCCCTTACATAAATAGGTAGATGGCTATTAGAAAAACAGTGTAGATGGCTATTAGAAAAATAGTGGAACCCATCCAACACTACAATTTCTAACATCTAACTAGAGATCTGGGCTAAAATAGCATGGTAAGACACCCTACAGTTCAGACACAGATCCACATAGCCTGCACAGCAAGCATCTGAAACAGCCGGTCATTACATATCCATCCTCATTACTGTTTAAATGACAAATGTGGTGTACTAACTTAAGAGAGAATGTCCTGAAAAGATCTGTTCATTGTGTCCTTTTGGAAAGATGTGCACTCAGTTCTTCCCTCGCATGGATTAGCAATTGCAAAGTATGGACTACATGAGCCTCCGTTACCTCGTAATGCACTCTGACAGAAACACAATCAGGCCAATAATGCAAAATGCATCCAGGATATTATGACTCAGAAGGAAGGAGTCAATTTCATGTGTAAGTAGTTTCTGGCAAAAAGACAAGACATAGTTCCCCATTTTCTAAATCTGGTATCCACAAGGACAGAACCACAGCAACACTGTCACCAACAAATCTTTCATGTGCTTCTCTTCTGTTCGCACAACCTACAGTAATCATGCTATACAGCAACTTCTCCACCCCAAAGTCTGCTCCTGGGTGCTCTTAACACTTTTAATACACAGCTGTTTCAGGAGACACCTTGTGAGTTTTTTCTGTTTTAGTCACTGAACAAAGCCTAGGTCCACCAGGGTCAGAGGAGGGGCTGATCCCAAAACTGTGAGGCTTGCAGACTTTTTCATGGGAGTCTGCATGCCTGTCTAGACTACATTTTCACAAGACACAAACACATACTCAAGCAACTGTGGTAACAGATACAGCTGACTTTCAAGGACTTGTTGCACACAAAGAAGCTATTAAGGCTTTCAAGAGATGGGAAATAACTATATTCTGTAGACAGCACACAAGGTTACAGACAATCTTTCTTTTTTAGCACTCATTTCATGTTAGACCCTTTGAAAGGCGATTTCAGGGGGAAGGTCTTGTTTTTAACAGTGACAGGAATTTAATCAGAAAAATGCAATTCTGGGCAGAATCATACTTTATAGTCAGAGCATTGAGACTATTAAGTGCCTTTCCTTATCAAATATGGAAGTGACACTTCATCCAGGAGAGGTACTGATTGGGCTGTACCCCTTGGAGGCTGATACAGCTGGAGGTGGTGATCAATTCAAGGTTTCCCAGTTAATGAGACTGCTGGTAGGCATTGATCTCAGGAAAATTGTGATGTTGCAGCTACAGATCTTACAGAGGACAGACTAACAAGGGAGCTTATCTTTTGAAATGGCTCTATAGGCCACAATTTTGCAGAGGTCACTGCTTTATATGCAGTATATGACCTTTCTTTCCTTTCCATTCCCAGTAAGCAGAAGAGATCAAAATATCCTAGTTGAGACACTGAGGAAAGTGGCACAACCTCATATTTGTTCTCTTTGCCTCTAGATGAAAGGTCTTAGAGAAGGGAAGTAATGAGTCACTCATTTTTGCATGGCAGGCAAAAGCACATCTCTAAACACCTAGAACTTCTATGTGAACATATCACTAATAACCAGCAGTACTTCAATGGAGTTACTTCACAAAATCTGAAATGTCACACAGCTTTTCATTACTCTTGGATGCTGTGCTCCTTAATGCCAACATCTCCTACTAATAACCTCCCTCCTTTTCCTGTGCCCACCAGAGAATTCCTTCAGACCAGGGAAGGCATTAGTGTCATGGTGTCTGCTGAGGAATACATTCTGCACAGCTAGCTCAGTGTCCAGCTGCAGGTTGAGCCCTGGGGGGCTGGAGCCTGAGCCCCAGGCAAAGGGTCATGAACTCCCAAGCCTTTGCATAACAAAGGGCCTGGAGACCTGTCCCTTGGCCAGGGGAATGGACAGTGGGAAAAACGACAGGAACCGACAACCCACAGACTTCCCTGTGTTTAGACTGCAAGGGGATAAAAGCTCAGGGGTTCCTTTGTTTAGGGTGCCTCCTTGGAAGCACCAGATAAAGCTGCTACTGTATTATTTAGTTATTGCACCATGATTAAATTAAGGATCTGGATGTGTGAGAGTCTGCAGTGGGAAACATGGGGTTGAACTGGTAGGGAAACCTGGATGGAACCTGATGTGACTATGTGAGCGTGGGGGGTGTGGCTGCAAAGGGGCCTCAGTCCCAGCTGAGGTGGAGTGACTGACGGAGCGGCTCCTGGATGGTCGGACAGGCAAGTTTCCTTAACACTGCAGCATGCAAGGGCTTTGCTTTACCAAAATTGCGCTCACTGGAGGTAGGTTTTCAGCTTATTTCCTCCAGGTGAAGGATCTACAGGGCCTGCCTGGTGGATGTTCAATACATAGTACACATAAATAATGTTCTGATAGTTAAACTCACACAATGGAGCCTGAGACACTATAGTGGTGAGTCCATCTTCACCTTCAGCTGCATCAGAGATGACACCAGCTGAATGCTCACAAGGCTTTCCTTAATCAGTGGACAGAATGGCTGCCAAGAAGTGCCCAGGCAGCCAGAGCTCCTGCACCACCTGAGGACTACCTGGCTGCCGAGGTAAAAGAAAAAGAAAAGACCTCTACGATCATCAAGTCCAGCCGTTAATGCAGCACTGCCAAGTCCAGCACTCCACCATTTCCCTAAACAACCATTCCCTAAGTACGTGTTTTTAAATACCACCAGGGATGGGGCCTCAACCACTTCCCTGCCTGTTCTGATGCTTGGCCACCCTTTTGGTGAAGGAATTTTTCAGTTGTGACTGTTTCCTGTTTTCCTATGTTTCAGAGGGTTTGGGCCTGCTTTTGCAAAACCAAATTTACTTTTAATGAACAAGAGCACTCAACAGCAGAATTCATTCCACCCTAAGAAAAAAATGTACAGGCAGGGAAGGAGAAGACAGGAAAGAAACGTGTCATTCATAACTGCATATGCCTTAAGATAAAAAATCAGATTAAATGGGAAGACAAGAACCCTGACAATTCCCTGAGGAAAAGCAAAACCCATAAGTGAGAACCTTGCACTGCAAAGATCTGGTGTGTCTGCTGTTGATTTAGGCTCAAAGAGAATCAAAGTCAGGAACAGGCAGAGATCTAAAGTTGTGCAGTCTTCAGAATTCCTGAAGAATCAAGGTGTGTGTGTGTGTGTGTGTAGGCATCCACACCAGATTAAACAGCAAGCCAAAAACCAGTATCTAGAGACAAATACTGGCAACATATTAAGGGAAAGAGCTATGTCTAAAGCCAAATGGGAAGAAACAAAAGGAAAAATACAAGAAAAGCTGGAGTCAGTGACAAAGCACTAAAATGTCTGTACCTTAGAGAACAGAATCTGGGCAAATGACGAAGGAACTGGAGCTACTAGCATGGGACAGAAGTGACTTCTTTAAAGGACATAGAGGAGGAAAAAGCAATCAATCAGGCTTAGAATACAGGTCAGTAATTTCAGAAGCCAAAGATAAAAAAGGTAAAGGTGACTAAACAGCATTGTGTGTTAATTATGTGATAGAATCAGTTAAAAACAAATAAATGGGGTGGAATGAACGGGCAAGGCAGGAACTTCACTGCCAATGGAATTAATTATATCAGGACTTAGGCCATATCTAAATCTGACATTAAGGAGGTATTCTTGCAAAATAGGTCTTTACAACATATCTCCACAATTAAGTAGGACTATGCTAAATAGAGGAAGTCCTCATTATTTACACATGGGTTAGACTTCTTCACTAATCAACAAAATAAATGGGTGGAGATATAATTTAGATTCTGTTTTGATAATTAGTCTTGGATTGGATGATTACATATTGATTCAGTTAAAGAACAAAAGCACAAAGTGATTTTATAATTCACAACTTTCATCTCAAAGTGTATGCTTTAGGAAGCTAAGAGAGCTCTACGGGACAAAATTTCTCATAGAATAAGGTGTGGAGGAGGCTTGAATATTTTACATAATCATAAAATCATTGAGGTTGCTGGATGTCATCTTGTCCTACCCTCTGCCCAAGTGGGACCTCATTGAGACAGTTACACAGAACTTTTGCATATGTTCAAGGATGGAGAATCCACAACCTGCCTGGGTAACCTGTGCTCATATTCAGCCACTCTCAGAGTAAAAAAGTGTTCAGTAGGAACCTCCTGTGGTTCAGCTTGTGCCCATTTCCTTGAAGTCAAAAGTTTCAAGTCAAAAATTTAAAAAGAATAGCAACAGAAGCCAAATCCTTCTTGAGTCCCAAGCCAGGAAAAAAATTCAAACAAATAAGATAATATTAAATAATAATTAAAAACCCAAACAAACAAAACAGAAAGACAAGTAGATAAAGAAGTTTAGGTAATAGGTTTCAAATTTTACATACTACTTTTGATCTTCAAGAAGCATCTCTCTTCTTCGCATTTCTTCTTGTCTTTTTTTAACTTCAAGTCTCTCTGCCTAAAGCATTAAAACCAGGAAAAAATAGTTGAGATTTAAAAAAAAAAAAATTAATTCTTTCAATTCCAATATTTCTAATTTTTTTTTTAAGATCTATAGCAGTTGAGTATCGAAGTGACCCAATCTTAAATTTAAAGGTATTCACTCATGAATAAGTATCTCCTAGTCAAGAGACCTGTTTAAATTAGAAAATGACGTGGTGCTCCTAGTACCCACCTACCCAAAAGGCCTTGTGAGCCTTCACAGTCATCATGTCACAACCCTGCTGGGGACATCTCGGGGTGTAGAAGACCTAAACCACTGCAACAAAGCAGATGATAGTCCAGATGTGGCACTGACAGTGCAGTGATGTGAACACATGTAGCTCGCAGAGCTGACTTGCAGGAGCGTTAGGTATTGGCCAGCTGAATACATGCTAAGACAAACAAAAGTGGGAGACATTTGTACTTAACCAGCATTCTTCTGTCTCAGATACCATATCTGGTGCAAGAGCCAATCAAATCCTTGACACATAAAATTCCTCTGTAAATCTGGATATCCCACAAATTATTAAGTCCTTTAATATAAAATTGCACATAATTTCCAATGGAAGTATCATCTAAGCTGCCCAATTCAAGTAGAATAAAATATTAAAATAAAGCAAAAACTGCAGAACTTGCTGCAACAGCAGCAACATGCAATTCAAGCTAAATTCTAATGAAAAGGAGGCCAGCCAAATTTTTGTTTTAGCTCACATGATGCAGTTAGGTCCAGTGGGAAGAGCAGTTAAAAGGCAGTTCACTGTATGAAAAGCACAAATTAGAAGTGCCAGCCTAAGATTTCAGCCCGTTGTATTTTGAACTCCCACACTGCAGTTGGTGGGGGGATGCTCTAATAAGAGCTCTCAAGAAATGATCACAACAACTCTCGTGTGGAGCAAAATACAGTCTCGGGCTGTCACTCTGCTCATTGCCCACCCTCAAAATGAGAAAAGGTAATTGCTCAGTAACCCAGCAACCAGACATTGATCTGAACAAAGTGCCCTGGAAATTTCAGACAATACCTTGCAGAGATGGGAAGGGAGGTGTAGGTAAAAATGGCCCCTGTGGCCAGAGCCCCAAATCAGGGACAGAACACTGCCTGAGCATAGGTACTGCACAAGAACAGGGAGAACAAGGAAGGGGAAACATGTAAGAGGGTAAGGGGTGTTAAGAACAGAGCTGAAACCCCCAGTTCCATAATCTTCTTTCTGTCCTGCAATTCTGAAAAACATTTCAGAAAAATTACAATTCTGCTGGCAGTTACTCAATTATTTTGCCTTTAGCAATTTCAGAATGCATACTTTTTAATTGGATAAAGAATGACTATCTGAAAGAGATTTGCAAAACAAGTGCAAATTCCTCCTTTGCATGCACTGGATTAAGAAAAAAAAAATCCTTTCAGATGTCTGCAGATAGGAAAAGAGCCACTATGTTGTGTGATGATAAAAACTGCTGGAAGGCAAAAGACTTAGAAACTGTTATTTAGAAAAAGGCAGTGCAAAATAAACAAAAAGAAGAAGGGGAATCTTTGAATAAGATATCCTGTTCACTCATTTGACATGCAGAAACAGTGATAGAAGGTATGACATACTGATGCAATTGAAAAATTTAACCAAACTATAGTAAGGAGCATCACTACACAGTATGGGTAATTTTAGAGTGTTCAGGGGATATATTGTTTGCTCCTAACCTAGACACAGATGATGTGTTAGGAAAAAAAACTCCCACTCATTTGTGCAGCTTCACAGTTACAGGAAAGGAAAGAGGCAGAAAAGAAAACTTATGGCTTGTGTTATTGTCAAAGGTGATGCTGATACCCTTGAGACACCAGCCATAGCTCCCAGGCTTTTCCCCAACACTGCCCAATACAACAAGCTGATGCCTTCACCTCTCAAAAAGCACTTCATGTGGGATCCACCATCATATTGCAAGGCTTCTGAATGTTCAAAATAAGCAATTCAAAAAGTTCCAAGAAATTCTAAAGCTCACAGGGCTTGTTGTGGTCTAGCTCCTAGCTAGTGACATCTAGAGAACAGTGATATTAACTTTGATAAATACAAACCTTCAATATCAACCCTGTCTCCCACTGGATGAAAAAATAAAGGAATATCCTACAGCTATTCTACCACCAGAAGAGTATCTGAAAAAAAAATCCAGCATCTTGAAATTGCTCATTTGTGGCTGGTGTGACTACGTTTTACTCTGGAAGTTTACCCTAGGACACCAGCTTAAGGATGCACATAAGTGACAGGTGACAGGATGGGCACATTCTGTAAGTGATGACAATCTATCAATAGACATTGTCAAAACACTCCACATTTGGCACCATGTTCAAAAAGCTAAGACTGGAACAGCTGTGATATTGAAGGTAAACACATTGAACGATGTTAGCAGAATGTCTGTAAAGTGCCCAGTTTTAACAAATTCCTGAAAAAAGTCCACTAATGCTGATTAATACAGTCAAATTAAAGAGCACATGATTTGATAAAAAATAAAATGAAATTACAGCTTATCCTAAATAAGACAGTTTTTGAAGATGGCAGGACTGTAAGAGAAAAAAATGTTGCCTTCAGTATAATTACACTGAGCCTTTTAATTTCAAATTGTTTGAATCTTCTAATAATAAGTCAAGATCTAAACTATAAAAGGAAATGCTAAAGGCAGAGTAACAGCAATAGAAATTCAGGAACAGGAAGCAGAACTATCCATTGCGCTGAAGTCATCCAATTTTACATGCAACACAAATGAGAAAAGTTTCATTAACAAGAAGCCAAGTATCAGCTGCTTGCTTATTTTTTGGGTAACTTTGATATTCCTTTCACCCAAATTATGATCCAGTCTGGTCAAACACCATGATGTGAAGGGCTGCACCAAAGATAACAACTCTAGACATCTACTACTAATGAGCAAATAACAGAAAAACTACCTCTCATGTACTTGAACACTTTCTGTGGATTAGACACACACCTCAGCATCAGGGGAAAACACAGAAAAAGGAAATTCCCTGCTCATGTTATCAAGTCTTTTCCAAATTATTTCACTGAGCACTCACCATTAGCTTAGAATACCCAAACTCAGGCAGCCCACGGTTACCCCATGAACAAACCCCAGCAGTCCCAGGACAAGCTGCCTGTCTTGAAGCGCACAGGAGACCTGAGTATTTGTTTACACAAGATGGCCCAGTGGAGCCCAGAATGAAGAATCTTTCCTCTCTCTGGAAGCTGGAGAGAGACAAGGTAGATGCCAAGCTCGTCTTCCAGCAGCTAATAACCCCATGGTTAATCAAAGAACGACAGAGGGAGGCAGGTGGACTCGTACAGTTAGTAAGGCAGACCTTCTGTATTTGGGTACTGCTTTGGCAGACTCACAGTTTTTGCTTCTTTACAAAGATAGTGGGAAAGGGGATGCTGCTTTTCTCTGCAAAACCAGCATTAAAACACTTACATAAACAGATCCTAAGTTCACAGGCAGCACTGGCTTACAGTATATCATCCTTACAATCAAGGAAGAACTGAGCTGAGTATCAGCACCCGTTCTAGTCATTGCACATTAGTCTGTAGGGCTTCACCATTCACGTCTGTTGGCAAAGAAGCTTTCCAGCTGTGAAAGTTCCAGGGCTCCTGCTGATAAAGCTGGCTAGCTATTATCTCCTCTCAGACTGTCACACAATTTGGGTTTTATTGAATGAATAATAACCTTGAGCAAAAGGGCTGGCAAGCAAGAAAAGACGGCCTGTGAACTTGCAGAAAGACATGCTCTCAGCCAATGCCCTACAGGTGCAGTTGAGTACAAATCTATCACTTCAAATAAAAAGCTCCTTTCCTTTGGTAAACAAAGCCCAATACTGGTTGTACAGCATCAGTAGGATCCGTGTCATTCTCAGGTCTTGGTAGCCTTTAATCTGTAGACAGAGTGAGATAGCCAAACTGGCACCTTCCAGTGGCTTTTCAGCATTCTCTTCTTAAACACAACATTGAATATTTAATACTTAATCATATTTCAAGAAGAAATCTCCATCGGCTCAGTCACTATTGTGAAAGACAATCTGAATAAACAAATTCAAACTAAGAGTTCCCTTTCACACATCTCTGTTTTGTGTGATTGCTTTGTGGGTATATGTTTATTTAGTCAAATTAGACAATCTGCTTGGCAAAGATGTTTGCTACGATGTTGCATCCTCCTTCAGCAAAAATGGATACTTACAGTTTTACTATCTACAACATCTATAAAGATTTTATAATCTGTGGGAGTGAAGGTAAGGAAATTAAAGAGCATGAAAACAAACCTGATACATCAATATATTTTCCAGGTGTAACTAGAAATTATAGCAGTCTTGTAACATTTTTCTTGTCCAATGGCCATGGGCAAACATCATATATTAAATAATTAATCCACTCTCTTCCACTGCTATTATCACTGTGTCTGGAGCTATACATGAGATGGTAACAGCTAGCAGCATTTTCAGGTGCTAGTATTTATTATCCCTGTAAACTATTGTGTATGGGCTTATGCCCAAAGTAGAACACTAACCACTGAGAGACCAGGGACAGACTAACCCTTACCTAGAGGCAATTACAGTTATTTCTGTTTATGCAAGCCCTTGTATGCCAACCAGTATCAATGACTTTTTAATTAACTCTCAAAATTCAATTTCTGCACAGAAAATAATTTTTACTGTTGTAGAGACAAACCTTGCAAATATTAAATCTCCCATTCTCTCCTTGTTAATGAGCATATCAGTATCATGCTCCCTCTCCTTTCATTTGTCATTTAAATTCCACACTGCATTCTCAAGCAAGTACTACTTGGTTGCCACCAAGGAGACACAAATGAACTTTTAAAAAGGGTTGTACAGCACAATGAAAAATTTGTGAGAATAACTAGAGAAAGCAAACAAATTAAAAATAATAAAATAAAATTTTCAAGTGAGCTATCATTGGTGTCAATATATGGAGACTAGAGAAGGAAGGATGATATGACGTATTAGCAAGACACTTGTGTGTGAAGGCTGTAGAAGGGCTGGAGGGGCAGTGGAATTTCAGGGTGCTCTCAGCACAATGCAGGTAGACTACACTGACCTTTCCATAATTTGGATATCTTTTAAATCCTGACAGACTGGATTTTCTAGTATTCTTCTCACGTGCACAGGCAGTTATGGATTCCTATAAGGTCTTTGTGCCAACTGCTACAATCCAGTCTTAGAGAGGGAGCTCATGCCAAAAGGAACCATATAACCTTCATACAATTTACTCCTGACCTTCATGTTCTCCCTTTCTGGTAACTCTGCGAGATAGATGCAGCTGAAAGGCTGGAATTTCTGATGAGCCAAAGGAACACTCAAGCCCCCCAAAACCCCAGGCAGGCATCCTTCAGTAGCTACAAAGAGGAGGAGGACTACATTTCCTAATTTCTCAATACCATCCAGGGTTACCACTTAATTTAATTAGCCAGATTCGTGTAGTTCAGCAAAATCAAGCATCAAGACATGAACTGCTGTATGACTTCAAGTCTGCAGTAACCAGATATACCTTTTCTCTCTGAATTGCTTTCTTTTTCAGGATTTCAGCTTCTTCAGCTGCCTTTTTTGCTTTTACATACTCTTCTCTCTTGTGCTGTGTGGCATAAACATAGGAAATTATTTTGCATATTTATGTATACAAGGAACACATATAGTAACTTGACTCCTATAGTGCACATCTTTCAAATCTAAAATGTGTTAGGGGAAAATTTCTGGATTTTTTTTCCCTTAAAATAAGACAGTGAATAATGCAGGCTGTGCAACAGCTACTGCAATATTGGCTTTAAGAAGGCTGAGAAATCTAGGACTGATAAATGGGCATTGATGCAAGTACTCACACAGCTGATTGATAACTTGCAAGCTTTTATACCTCTTGTAACAGGAACAACATTTCCACATAAGCACAGGACAGGGTGGTACATTGATCAATTAGTCCAAGCATAAGCAGCATGCCGGAAGATACAGCATGGCATTTAAGTGGCTTTACAACTGTTTTGGTTGTTATTTGAGATATCATCTGTGATACAGATTGCTTCATATTTATGGAAAGATTTCTCATTTTCTTTGGTGCAGAACATTAGTTTCTGATTTTCTGCTGCTTCCTTCAGGTTTCATGAGTTTCTCCTGTCAAGCAGCTGTGAATTCGTTTTATAGTCATAAAATACACTACAGGAAAAGTTTTCTTTTGAGTTCTAAAAATAAACAAAGACATTTATTCTTACTGACCTTTTTCTGGTATTTAGATTGCATAAGAATCATTTGCTGGTTTTGTCGTACTTGAGCCTCTGATTCGTTTCCACCTTAAAAAAATCCAAAAATATAAATGGCACTTTGTGTGAGCATTTTAACTGCAAATGCCAGTCATTTCAGAACACAGTAATGTAACAGACTGGATATATGCATATACAGGAAATTTTTCATAATTACAGTAGCTGTCTGATATTAAAGAGAACAGATAGGAGACCTTTTTGATAATTTTTTTCATCCATCAAAAGCACTTGCCTACTATTTACAGAGCATCCACTGTATCATCCACTCTACCAACAAATATGTCCCTACAATGTATGATCAGTTTGCTGAGGAACTATTCCATTTTCAGAAAATCAGTCATGCTTTGCAGGTGAGTTTTCATTTTCACATCCAGCTATCCCCACCTTTACTCAGTTTGTCACACACATACAGTCAGAAATTCTATTACTAAAAAGTTTCTCTTTTATCAAATTTAGGATCTTGGATTCTGCCAGCTCCAGTGGGATGCTATCATTTTAATATTTTCTAAGTAATGTTTTGGGGCTCAAGGAAGAATCCTCTTTCTGAAATGGAAGTAAAAGCCTTTTCCCACAGATCTCACATTCATATCCAGGTAGTAGAAAGTGTCCCTTTCCAAAGACATGGACTCTCTTTTGTGAACATCTAAAGTTCTGGCCATAATGCTCAGCCTTTAATAAAAACAAACAAAATCCCCACAACCAACCAACCAACAAAAAACTAATCACACAAAGAAAGTGATACCAGGTCTTAAGGGATTGAGGAAGTGACTTTGATTCTATTACTGTGCTCTATTTTCTAAGGTATTTTCTTGCTGTAGGAAAGGAAATAATTAATTCCCTTCAGTTGTTGCAACATAACAGCTCTCACTCCATTCACAACAGCCCTCATTCCATTCTGAGGATGGGAGCTGTACTTCCCCAATTTATTGTTTTCATGAGAAATTCACGTCTATGTGACTCCTAATTCTACAGAAGCAGCTGGACGAATCTGTGCTATCTTAGGCACCTGATATCCTGGGTTGTAGCCAAAGCAGCATGGGCAGCCAGTCAAGGGAATATGATTCTGCCCCTCTGCTCTGCTCTGATGAGACCCCCACCTGCAGTGCTGCATCCAGCTCTGGGGTCCCCAATGCAAGAAGGACATGGACCTGCTGGGTCGAGTCCATAGGAGGGCCTCAAAGATGATCAGGAGGGCTAGAGCACCTCTCCTGTGAAGAAAGGCTGAGAGAGCTAGGATTGTTTCCCCGGGAGAGGAGAAGGCTCCAGGGAGACCTCCTAGCAGCCTTTCAGTACCTGAAAGGGCCTACAAGACAGCTGGAGAGGGAATTTTTGCAAGAGCATATACTAGTAGGACAAGGAGGAATGGCTTTAAACTGAAAGAGGAGAGATTTAGATTGAATATAATAAAGACATATTTCACTGTGAGGTGCTGAGGCACTGACACAGATTGCCCAAAGAAGCTGTGGATGTCCCATCTCTGGAAGTGTTCAAGGCCAGGTTGGATTGCACTTTGAGCAATCTAGTGGAAGGTATCCCTGCGCACAGAAGACTGGGTAAAACGAAACAATATTTAAGTTTACTTCAGACCCAAACCATTCTCTGACTTGTAAGACCTTTCATAAATGTAAGAAATACTAGGCCTTGCAGGAGGGATCACTCTTGTCTAAAGGTAGCTCTCTCCATTTACTAATGGAAGGTAACTAATCTTTAGGAGCTTTGTGACATTCTCATTTTGCGAATGGGAGATCAATACCCTAAGCATGGCAACATTTCTATGGACACAAATAAATCCCTAAGATAAGTTCTCCAGAGAGAATGGCCATACAGCATACAAGCAATAAGCTTAGAATAGCAATAAGCATACAGCTGGCATTGTAGAGTGTCTCTTCCCCAGGTCTAGAAAATAAAACTGCTGCTAAACAGGTTTTGAAACCTCTTAGATGCCTAATCTTTCTCTTTTTTTAGCCTTTTAATAGCAAAATTTATTTTCTGCACTGTAGTATTTTTGCCGGTACTGGTGGACATAGTCTTGGAACAAACATTTTTCTGATCATTATTAAAAATTGCCTATAGCCTTTCAGCCATGTTTAATTCATTCAACTGCCTTGGTTGTAACGTGTCAAATGCTTCACTGAAGTCAGAGGATGTTGTGATCATATATAATAATACCAGAAAAGAGACTGTTGCATTTATCAGGTGTGATTTGTTGCTCCACTTGTTGCTTACAGAGGAGAGTAGAACTTGCATCCTTCATTGCTCTCATCTCTCCATGATGCCTGAAAATTTGGCAGTCAAATATTACAGAGTTGAAATCCAGAATACTTATTTCCCTGTGGAAACCACAAGTGTTTAAAAAATTTAAGAAACTTCAACTTTATTTACAGATTTTATTTAGTGACTTGGACTAGAGGTGTAGTCCCTTAAAATCACTCCGAGAAGATAACACATGATACTTTTTTCTCCTAATGAGTACCTACAGGTGTAAAATTAGAGATGCCATTTCAGCTCCAAATTTGTTCCTGTGGGAATGATATGTTCTAATAATCCTTGCACCTCAATTTTTTCAGTGGCACTGAACACAGTACTTGTGTCTCAGCCTCCAGGAGTCTAAGTGGCAGCTAGAGAGTGACTAATGACATCATATTTTCTTACTTAATAATTTTTTTTCCTCTTAAGTTTCTTCTTTGCCCAGAAGGATTTTAAATGCAGTTGGGCCAGAAGTTAAGACTCCTGACACTCAGTCCCTGCAGCTTTAAGGGACACCTTCAGTCACGCAGCCAGCCCGCACACACCAAACATGCCAAATTTTTTTTCCAGATTTCACTTTCTTCAACAAAAAGCTCTATGGTCTCCTTGTGACAGAAGTAGGTCTTCTAGAAAGTACCCACAAGCAAGAAGCAGATGTTGCACACAAACTCACAAAGACTCTGGCCATACAACTGAACATGATGGTGGGCACACAGGGCATTGCCACCACTGCAAACAACTGTGACTCAGCTGCATGGCAGAACACGTGGGACCAGGATCACCTTGAGCCAAAAATCAGCTCTGAGTTGGACTCAGTTCAAACTCCTCTGTCTCCCACCTGCTGTCTATTTTTATACACTGTACATCACTGCAAACTATCTTGTGCAGCCTGGCAGAGAAAGAACTTAATTTGCAGGTCAGAGCAGACCACATCCTGCACTGTGTACTCCAAATTCTCCTCCAATAGCCAAGGTAAGGAAGAGTCGCTCTTCTTTTCTAAAACTTTTTAAAACTAAGTCAGAAATATACCTAAATTCATTACTTTATAGTGGTTGCAATTGAAGACATCTTCTACACTTTCCCTCACCCATCTAGAAAATATCTTGCTTATTGTGGCAGCACATGTACTACCACAGCTTATCTTAGAAAACACATCAATTACATTCAGGGTGTTTTAAGTTCTTGCAGCTTTTTACCCTGTTTTTCATTTACTTGTCTGTTACCTTTAAAAAACTGGTAATACAGGGCTTCACGCACTTTTAGCCTGCAAATGCTGAAGCTACAGGGATCATTTTTGCCTCTTCAAGAGCCAGCAGCCAGGAAAGCACACAAAGACACAGAAGAGTTTCCTTACGGGTAACTGGAGGGTCTCTCACATGCTGTCCATCTTCACACTAATGACAAGTGCATGCCCCTCAGAGACATCAACTACAGACAGTGTAAACAGCAGGAGGATTAATCCACCTGTTTTCCCCAAATGTTAGTACAGATTTTCTACTCTGCCATTGACAGATTTCTTGAGTGACAATCTGTGCTGTTTTGTTTCAGAAACATCTTCCTTGCCATGATCATCAAGAAGCACAGAGCACATACAATATATTCATGTTAGCCCTTATTGACACTGAATCTCTTTAATTAGCAGTGAGAAAAAGTTAAAAATGTCTCATGTCTTGGAAAATTTAATTTTGCAATTCTCAGTTCCTGATTTACATGTCTTACCCAGTCTCTGTGGCACCAACATAATTGGCCCTGGCCTGTGTTCTTTCTTCCATTGCTCCAGGTCATCGAGCTCTTTCTTAGCAACTGAGCAGGTATAAAAAGAAATACATATATGGAAGTTAGAGGAATACTAACAAGCAGCAATTACTGCTAATTGCATGTAATCCTGAAGACCATCTAGGAACCAACTTGGTTCTCAAGAGATGCAGACATGGCTACAAGAGGTTATGCAGTCACTGCAATAATTAGCTAATAGGGCAAACTTTTTCCCTAACTTGAGACTGTAATGGTGAGCAACCCTAGGACTCAAAATCAAAAGTGAAGCCAAAACCAGCTAGGAGACTACTAATAGACTGCTTTTTAACCCCTGGGAACCTATAGGTAAGTCCCACAGTATTTGCTCCTGCAGATAAAGTAGAAATTGCTACAATGAAGATGTTATTGCTGCATAGAGGGAAATCCTTGCCGTGTAATGCTCCCCAGCAGGGAAATGAAAAGTAATTTCCCCTCCCAACCACATGCTCCCTAAATAAAAACAGGAGGAATGCAAGAATCAACTTCACGTTAAGACACTTCAACATAGGCACCCACATGTGAGATGGGCAGCAAGCTTCCAGTGTAGTCAGTGCAAGTCAATATAGCCGGAGTGCAGCCATATGCTCCAGGATGGCTGATTTAACTTCTCTCTTTGTCGACTGACAGAGGGAAAAATACAACAATTCCTTTCAATAGCAAGGCCAACAAAGCCTATGGAAAGAGGAGCTGTGTTTTATACTAGCACTTCAGTTGCCCTAGGAGCTTACTTCACTCTGTGTATCCTAATGACTAGCTATGGCTATTGGAGACTAACACCAGCCCTCCTCTAAGATGATAAAGCCAGTATTTGGGTAAGCCTCTAAAGAGACCCAAAAGACAGAGAACAGCTTTTTATTTCTCCTTTAAAACAACCATTTAAGTAGAGACTGCATTCAGTGAGGTCCTGTTTCTGCCAGTGTCCAAGACAGAAATATCTGGCATGCTTCAGACCATTGTGGTCTAAATCACATTGGCGCCACAAAGTGAAAAAAGATCTTTATTAGAGCAGCAGCACCTTTGCTGTTAACATCACAGTCAGGTCTAAGATTATCTGCTGCTGTTCTTCCTTCAAAAGGATTATAGTTTGGTTCATGATAAGTCCATTTTCTTTCTTGCAGCCAAAGGAAACCCAAATCATACCAGCCTGCTGGTAAAGCATTTAAGCCAAACTCACAATGTTTGAGAAGAAAGGATTTAATTGCACTTGAGGACTCAAGACATGAGAAGTGCTGACTCACATTCCCTCAGCTTTTATGTCTTGCATGAATCAATGCCCAGATGTGTAGGACTGCTGTGGTCAATCAGTCACCCCTGTATACAGAATTTCACATCTGACTCTGGCTGTAACTTTGCCACTAAAAGATTTCAACATATGCCTAATCTTTCTCGTAGAGGTTCAGGGTGTTCCCACTTAACTACTTTCACCAGCAAGACTCAAAGCTAAGCAAAAGTGAATATATATCCATAAATACTTTCCACCTAAAATTACTTTTACCAGCTTCGGTAGAAGAATCACCTACACTCAAATGCATGTTCAAGAACCAACAGCATCTACAGTTGCTTTTGTTTCCACATGGGAGTATTTTCAAAAATATTTCTTATTTGTATTTTTGTTCTTCCTCCTTCTAACCCTGAGACTGTGCAAAGTTTCCCAATATGAATTCCATCCTGTAAAATTTGGATAGAGCTAATTCCAGTATAGTCTTGTAGAAGCCATCTTAAACTGCACTGCAAATTACCAAAACCCTTCCAAATAAGATTTATTCTGCATGAAGTGAAGCCAGATGATGAGTCACACTTAAGAAAAGATACATGATCATGGAGAATGCTCATAGCATTTGCATTACTATCATATCTGTACATAAAAAAACGTTGTAAAAATGAGGATAAAAATTGCAAGAGCAATAAAATGCTAAAATCCTAAAGTTATTCAAGTAGAAATAGTGTATTATGATATTAGACAACTCAACTTACTTTGCTGCAACTGTATTCTTCTGGTTTCATTTGGAGTTACCAAGACATATGGGCCAACACTAAAATGAAAAAATACACTCTTATTTTTCCTGTTCACACAAAATCAGAACTAGAAAGTGTTCCTTCAACACAAAAGTCAGTTTTCTGCTGTTGTAGCAAACAACTTGACAAAAAAAATGAGTATTTATTCTGATTCAGCTCTTTAGGAATTTTTGGTAAGTACTCTAGGAATGCATGTTATACTTGTAATTGGCAGTTGATACGAAGGATATTATTTTCAGGAACTTTTAGCATAGCCTTTGCTGTTCTTATTCAAGGCTTACTCTAGACTGCTGACCTCAAATCTCATGCATTTCAAATCAAATCACTTCCTTGAGTCAAAATGTTTCATGTGGAAGACCATTGTCTGCTGGGAAGAGCACTGGTGCTGGCAGTCCTACCCCTTACCTTGTGGACACCAAGCGCCTTGTGGACTTAAGCAGCCTGCCCAAAAGTTGTCCAAGGAGTGTGCAAAGTCACACTGTCTGTGATGGACCCAGATGACTTACTCTCAGCCTGAGCCTCAGTTTCCTTTTTGGCCTTTCATTTTCAGGCACCAGGAATTCCTTGGGCATATCCATCTTGCTGTCACACCTAAGGTGCGACTCACTGAATCAGGACAAGGGGCCTGTTTTGCCAGACTTAATTCAAAATGCAGTTGCTGTTTCAACAAGTTATCAATCTAATGTGACAGCAAAGAGGCAAGCCAGGGTTCAGAGTGTATTAAGAGACTCGAGGTGATCAAAAGAGTGATGAAAACATGTCAGTTCCACTTGGAGAAGACAAAGGGTTTTATCTCCATGGTGTATTGTGTGAGCAGGAGTTTACACAACTTCCACTTATCAGAAGCTGAGCCATGGGGGTGCAGATTTACCAGAAATGCACTAAGCAGCACTTGGCCCCACACATCAGAGTCTTGGCAGGGTTTTATATGCAAGTGTGGGCACAAATATTTCATCTGGCTTCATTGCAGGGAAAGTACAAGGAGAACAGCTAGCAAAGAATAATTAGGGAAGAAGGCTGAGCCTCTTCAGGAAAGGCCACAGGGAGTAGATAGAGGGCAAACTAGTAAGCAGAGAGAGAAGCTGGCAGTGGAAAAGTAATGAAACAATAAGGCCCAAGACTAAGGTTTAAAAGGGGAATGAAAATCATGCAAAGAGATCAAAGCACCCAAAGCTGCCTGCTGCCGTATCAATGTAATTCAGCGTTTGGTAAGAGAGTATTTATATCCAATTACCTCTTTCTCTTTGAAGACTTATTCCAGGAGGATGTGGATTAATTTATGAGATTAAACTAGTAAAGATAGAGCTGTGAGCTTTAATGGTGCCATTTAATATGATCTTTTCCCTTTCTGCCAGCATACTCTGGTGCCCCTGAGACGGTGAGACTGTTCTGCAAGTCTCCACCGAATCCCAGACCCTCAAAGGCTGGAGTGAAGAGTGCAACAATGCCCCAGTGGCATTCACCACACAACTGCAAACATTACTTAAAAGAAGCTTTGACAACACATCTCGCTTATGGCATAACACTCCCCATCAGTGATGCTTCAGATTTTTCTCTATTTGATTGAGTGGTAGCATTTCCAATTTATGCCAAAGTGCCTTTAACAAGCTGCTGCAGAATGTATCTGTTTCAAGACTTTTTTATACCTTTTGTTTTGGTTTCAGATATTAAGATCATATTTCTCTCAAGTTCATACACAAAAATTATTAAGTACCTTTTAAACTCCCCTCCCTTCCCTTTGGCAGTGATAAAAGTTTGTAGGTTGCAATGCTACATATCTCCTCCTCCCAAAAATCAATCAGTGCATCTAAAATATCACGCTGCTTCACAGCACTAGAGGGCAGAAGAGTTTTTATGCCATGTACTTTGATGATTTCAAACAGCATTTGTCTGGTTGATTTATTTTAAGTTATAATCAATCTTTTAAAAAAAGACCTCAGCTTGCCTGAACATGTATGAGAAGTCATGTTATCAGATCTAGCCCTTTTGCCATGAATAATTTCCTTCATCTACTTCTGCTTTTTGTCTGGAAGGCTCAGACCTCAACCAGCCAGATGGGGCCCACTCTTCTGGTACCAGACTGTGGCCTCATCATCAGCACCTCAGAAGGACTGCACATGAAATACAGCAAAGATAATCAGCTTACCAAAGAGGTAGAGGTGACAGTACATTTACCATCTGTTTTCCAGAGAGCATATTAAGAGTTGTCTTGTTTAAAACAGTGTTTATTGAAAAGCAAAATTAATTTCCATTTTTATTGAAATAAAGGCAAAGAAAGTGAGGGTGCCAAGTCTTCAGTGGGGGAGAGAAGGAGAGAACAGGACACCAAGGTTTCTTTGTCTTTTATCTAATGCTTTGTTTTATTTATTATTAGAAAGAAAAAGAAAAAAAGGCAAGGGGGGCAATTTTGAGTTTATCTAACTTTATAGTATTCACCTTGGTCTCTGGAAAGCTATGCCAGAGTGTGGGTTTGGGTACTGGGATCAGGAATGGCCTGAAGCTGAAGGAGGGCAGGATTAGGTTACATACTAGGAAGAAATTCTTTACTGGCAGGGTGGTGAGACACTGGAACAAGTTGTCCAGAGATGTTGTGGGATCCCCATCCTTGAGGTGTTTAAGACCAAGCTGGATGGGGCTCTGAATCCTTCTGAATTCCACCTGGTCTAGCGGAAGGATTCCTGTCCATGGCAGGGGGACTGGAATTAGATGACCTTTAAGGTCTCTTAAAGAATCATTCCACAATTCTCTGAGAGAGGGAAGGAGGAGTAAGTACATGGTAAATTTCTTGTGTGAGGGGTGAAAGTTAGGGTCCAAACTGGTTCCTTGCCTTTTAACCCTACAGGAGAGGAGCCAAATGAGCTGTTGCCTGAGAAACTCCACTAAAATCTGCACATAAAACTCCTTATTTTCTTGAGATTCTCTTTTTGAAGGAAAGAAAGTTAATGCAAAAACCAGCTTTCTCCTTGTGTTTTTATCCAGTTTGCAGGATATTTTATGTCATTTCTTTGTTCAGGCAAAATCTCTGATCCAGTTAAGCTTATAAAACCTGCTACAGCCTGTCAATTTAATATTCCAGTCAGTTTCTGGGTTGCCACAGTAGCCATAAGTCTGGAGCAAATTATCCTACTTACCTGGGAAGCAATTAAGAAAATGTGAAGATTTGAAGCTATCAGTGGTGTGCAGAATTTTGTGCTTTATACCGATATATGAAGTGCTTCAAAATTCACAGACAGAAAAGATTATAAAGAATTTAACTTTACAGTTTCCCTAATAATGATTCTAATTGTTATAACACTTAAGCCTATCTTTGAGGTAGGGTTGTTTTATAAATATAAATACAGAAGTCACTGGAAGGGTAGAAAGAACATCTCACCCCCGTTACAGCTCTTCAAAAAAGAAAAATCATCTTCTCCTTTATGAATCATATTAATCTTGATGGGTGTTTTTTGTTTTATTTTCTCCACAGAAAATGGGAATGTATTGACTCATTACACAGACTGAACAGATATTAATGAGAGTAAGAAAGTTATAACCCAATAAGAAAATGCATCCATTTTGAAATTTAAAAAAACCCCAAACTTCCTATGATTTTTCAAGCAGATACAGATAACATACCACAGTTGTGGGATTATAAATGCCTATGTAACAATATATCATTGTGGTTTTAACCCCAGTCAGTAACTAGGCACCACATGGCTGCTCACTCACTCTGGCCCCCATGGGACGGGATGGAGGATTAGAAGGGTTAAAGTGAGAAAACTCACGGGTTGAGATAAAGACAAGTTTAACAGGTAAAGCAAAAGCTGCACACACAAGCAAAGCAGGAATGGATTCACTACTTCCCATGGTCGGGCAGGTGTTCAGCCATCCAGGGCTCCACCACACGTAATGGTAACTTGGGAAGATAAACTCCATCACTGTGTACATCTCACCCCTCCTTCTCCTTCCCCCAGTTATGTATGCTGAGCATGATGCCATATGTTATGGGATACACTCTGCCAGTTGGGGTCAGCTATCCCACAGCCCTCACAACTTCCTGTGCACCCCAGCCCTCCCTCTGATGGGGCGGTATGGGAGGCAGAAAAGACCCTGACTCAGTGTCAGCCCTGCTCAGCAATAACAAAACATCTCTGTGTTATCAACACACTTTCGGCCACAAATCCAAACCGTAGCCCCACTGCAGCTACTATGAAGAAAATAAGCTCTACTGCAGCCAAAACCAGCACATACAGAGAGAGAGAGAGATAAAACATTTCCATCAGGAGAAACATACAATACAGTCATAGGTAATGATAGTTTACACTTTGAGTGATCATTAACTTTAGGAACACCCTGTCTGAAAACTTAAATTTTGAATAATGCGTAAATCTACTCTTCTAATTAGGACACCTAGTTCTCAAGGACACGTCTTCAGTGCTTTAAAGACATAGGCAATAGCAACTTTTGTTCTACTTTTTTTCAGGTTTGTATAAAACAGTTTATTTCTAAAATTGAAAAAAATACATGAGGGCTGCAGTTCTCCGATAATAGTTTTTGCAGAGCTGTGCTCTTCAGTTTTACCTCAAGTCCACTCCAGCCACCTATCACAGGAGAGGTATTCAAATGAAGTGTGAAATTGTTTAAAGAGTTACAAACGGAATGGGTGTTATAAACTATTTCCAGTTCCACTGTGTTTCATACCATGGGTGCATTGGTACATGAATGCCACAGAGCTGAAAGCCAAATATTTTGCTCTGCTGGGCAGACTGCTCTGCATAGCAGACAGAAAAATAGGGAAAAAGAAGTTGGAGAGCAAAAAAATGACTAAAGCTTGGGAAAGAGGCACGGCAGATTCAGTCAGAAGAGGGACCTAGGGTGAGATATTGCATTAGGTAGTATGTTAAGACTGAATTTAAGAGGTCAAACTGCCAAAGCCAACTCTTGAATTTTCTTCAAAAATACACCAAGCTGAACTTTGCATTAATGTATCAGGAATTGTTTTAAGAGCGGTCTAGTCCACACCACCACAAAGTATTATTTTCAGCAAAGCTCCCATGCCTGATGGAGCAGCCACATGCTGCTGAGTAGCACAGAAGCTGCCAAATTAAAGGGCTACAAGATGCCAAATCCCAGCAAGCAGAAAACTGTCCTGTAGGTACCCCTATTCTGTAATGCACACACAACCAGATGCCAATGATAATTGACAGATACAATTCTAGACCTCAGCTGAGCAATATGCTCTGTGTCCCAGCATTGCCATAAGCAGAGCTCTAAGGAAGTGTACAAACCTTACATGCAGGCCTGGGGTTCTGGCTTTCCATCTTTATTAGTGGCATCATCTTACCAGTTTGCGGCTCAAAGACAAAAGTGATTTACTGGGGCTTAGCATTACACACTGTCTGATTCATCCTCACTGCACGTGTGCTCTTAACACAAGAGGCAGAAAATGAATTACATTAGCAGGAAATGTTTATCACCAAAAGTCTACCTCCATGGATTTTGTCCTGTGTTTGCCAGAGGCCAGGAATGCATTTAATTAGTACAGTTCAAAAGGTGTCTGGAAGATTATTAAACCAGGGTAACTCACTTCTGTATCTGATCCCTTTCATTAAGAACAGGTAACCTTTATGGCATTTGTGAGGATTAAAGCAAAAAGTTTAAACCTGAAGAAGTGAACTTGCAAGAGGGAAGAGTGAGAAGGGAGACAGCAGCAGAGAGCAGCCCAGGAGAAAGAGTCAGAAATCTGCAGGAAAGAAACAGACCTGAAGTTCTGCTGTTACCAACATTCTTGTAGAGAAATTCCTGAAGTTAAAATTTGGTCAAAAGACTAAAACTGAAACATGGAACTGAATTTCCAACAGTTTAGATGAGGATCAGACTCAGCATCTTGTGGTCTTAGCACATCAGAAAAAAGGGCAGGTGCTTCAGCCAGTACTCTGTTTTGGACAATCTCAACCAACTTCTGAAGATTCAAGGAAATTGCCACCCTGAGGGATCAAATCAGGGAGCCAAGGGGTAGCCCTCAGCCCAAACTTGGCTCACAGCTCCTCATCAAGCTATGCATCAAGAGAACATGTCAGACAAGTTCCTTCAAAAAAGCCTTCTAATACAGAATTATGGAAGGACTTCATTCCTTCCCCCAAACATTATATGGAACAGTAGCCCCCACCATCCAGACTGTCAGCATAGTTGTTGTCTTACATAGACCCTGCCACCAATCCTGCGCCTGGAGAAAAGGCTGGCTACTGACACAGTGAAGCTGGGCATCACTCAAGCGCTCCACTGGGCTGTAAATATTAGTACATCAGCCTGAAAGACAGAGTTGGGAGACTTCTCCTGTGCAGCAAGTGGAGAGCTAAACTCTGAACAGATTTTCCATAATTCAAACTACATGTCTTGCACTCCCAGCAGTGGCTGAGCAATGGGCAAAACAAGTATTTTGCTAAAAATCTGCCTACAGTTCTGTAGACTAACTTTTTTCTTTTATTTTAAAGAAACTTTAGTTCATAAAAGAAAAAAAAAAGAAAATCAGAGCTGCTAAGTATAGTCTGTCAGCAATAGGATGATATTTTGGTTTGGTTTTTGGGTTTTTTATTTTAATTCAGGATGAACACTGGAAAAGGAAGGAAAGAAAGCTCTGATAGATTTGGCTCCAGTGGTCAAAGAGTACAATTTCTGGAGTCAAGCATTCTAGCAAGTTTGCTCTCCTTTCAGAAAAAATGATGAGGGACTGTTACCAGCTGTGCAGCAATATCTCTTCAGGCTTTATTATTTTGCATTTCAGTTTTTAATGTATTTTACCAGAACCAATATTATTCTTGGCAGCTTTAAAGGCGCTAAAGGCAGACTGCTGAATGGGGGCAGCAGTTTCTTTTTCAGGCACTAGCTATAGTTCACCCTCTAATTTCCCCACTTTCCTCCACCTTTCTTCTGTACAGACTTTTGTTTCTGAATAGGTATGAACGGGGGCAATTTGGGAATTTGCTTTCTACGAGTTAATTTCATGGCACTTAGTAGACAAAGTGAATCCACTTAAATGCAAGCTTATTATTATAAGCGGTTTCAAGCTCTTGTGAAAAAAGTAATTCTGGTGACTTTTTTCTCCATGGCCTGAAACCACATTCTATGTATAACTGGATGGGGATATGCAAAGTGTGACTTCAGTTTTGTATTTGAACAAGTATTTTTCTTAATTAGGACCATTTTATTGTCACTTCTCACCCTTGACACATCATATGAGGGCTTTTCCAAAGCAAAACTACCTAAACTCTAATACCAGCTGCCCACCTTGTATTTTTAATAGTCCGGTATGAATATCGTGTACTGAACAGGACTGCAACATGCTACATCCCACACATATTTCATGCATCCAGTCTAAACAAAAGGTCCCCTAATGTGACCCTAAGATGCTCCTAAGATGTTTTCCCACTCCCAGTTTCTCTCACAGCCTGAGACAGAGAGTTTGCATTGAAATAATTCACACAGAGCCTTCAAAAGAGACTCCAACTCCTGCTTTGCTGGCAGCAAAACCATACCTCTCTCTGTTTCCAAAAAATAGCAAGCAGAATCTGGAATAGAGACACTACTTGGCACAGAGCTATCCTGTTTGGGCCCCTCATGTTCCCTCTGCTATGCGTATTCCAGAAAATCTTTAGTAATGCTAGTCTGTGCCTTTTTTCTCCTACTGCCACCCTATAACTTCAGCTCTCCAACTGCTCTTGTTATCCCAGAACCTGAAAACCAGAACCTGAGGGTGCTCCAGTAATTTAAAGTTCATATTAAAATGGGTTGCTGGCTAAAAAGCTGAGTCAGCTTTATCATTGCTAAAATGATATTTTAATCTGAAATCTTTCTTGAAATATAGCTTGAGAAAATGAACAAAGTAAAAATTAATGAAACCATTTTTTATTAAGAATAATGTTCTTAAAAATTCCACTGTTCTGTTTCAGTATTTCAGATGCTATTTTCTCCTTTAATCTGTGTTAGTTAAGGAAATTACAGGTAAAGTAGCTTCATCCCATTCAAACTGCCAGGTAGCATCCCCCTTCTAAAGGGAAGGATGCAAAACCCACTCTCATTCAGTTCATTTTTTATTAGAGTATTAGTTTCTCCACACATATTATATGGTTTCTATTTCAACCTGTCTTTCCTTCACCCCCCTTCTCAATAACTGAATACTAATGCAGACTTTAATTTGTACATCCGAGATTTAGGAACTAATTCTTTTTTAGAACTTTATGAAGACACAGAGACACTATTTTCACATAGCAGAAAATAATAATCAGTCTTTGCAGTGGATGCACAACAGCTTTATGTCTGCAAGAATCATGTAAGATGAAAGAGGGAACAGGGATTTGTGTGATTATATGTGCTCTGGCCTTAAATTCTGCAGGGAGTTCTGGCAAACCAATTGATTAATTATTCACCTAACCTGTACCAGGGGGTTTGTATGCCAGACAAACTGGGTAAACGCAGTTGTGCCAATGGCAAAACTCCCACTAGCCCTCCTGCCCCCTCCTCCCCCTGAAAAAAAACCCAAACAGCAACAAAATGCACACATCACAGCTACGTAAACAAACTGGGGCTGTCCTTGCTCTACTGTGAATATCTGGCACTGTGAGAGCAGGCAAGATAGAGAATTTTTCATATTTTGAAGCGTCAGCAAATACAGCGTCAGACTGTAACTAAGGAATTGTTGTTTGCTCTCCTGAAAGTCAGTCATTAAAGCGCTGATGGATTTTAAAAGGGCACAGCTCTTAATAGTCCCTGTATCATTACTACCCAATAGGCAAGCATTCATGGGTTTCAGTGGAAAGCTGCTGATCTCTTCTTGCCATCAGCTGCCTGCCACGTCCTCCACAGGTGGCTCCAACTTCTTTACCCAGAAAGAAGAAAAAGGAAACTGAAACAGTTTGCAGTTTTGCCAGCTGCCCTTTGAAAGAAGGAAGAAAAAGAAGCAAGCTAAGCAAAATCAGCACATAATAATAATAATCTTAGCATTACATGCATTGTTACTAAGAACTCAGAAAAAGCAAAATGGTGAAAAGGAATAAACACATAGCTATGGTCATCTGTTTATATGAAATACACATGCATAAAACACACACAGAGCTTTCCATTTCTATTCTGTCTTACATATGCAAGGCACAGCTTATACAAGCTATCTCAGGATTGTCACTGGAGAGCAAGAGAGACTAAGCATAGATTCCAATAAAACACCAAATGCTGAAGCTTTGGTTTTATTTTTGTGAGCATGAAGTTCCTGGAAGCTGTTCTGTGTCCTTGACTGCATTCAGAGCAGTGTTGGAATGAAGCCTATATCCATCTCTTAAGCCAAAGTAAGTATTTTTAGACTTTCCAGGATGAAATATTAGGAGACACAGAAAACAGGGAGCTAGAACCAGATTTGAAATTTCACTTTGAAAAAAAGATGGCAAGAAACTTTGAAAAAAGATGCCACACACCGCGTATGCCAGTATCCAAGGTACAGAACTGGCCACTGCTATGACACAGGGTATAAGCCATGCTATAAAGAAGCCTTCCAGAACAACTAGGGTCCCATGTAGGAAGCTCCAAAGAGATGACAACATGCTGCTTGTGTGCTCAGCCACATGCAGGGTGTCTATAAAATATTTTCACCTTTAAAAGTGTACACCTCGAGTAAGCTGGAGAACAGGAACCCAATGCAGGTAAATCAGCTTAGTCAGGCTCCTTGATACTTACTACTGCTTTTGCTGTTGCTGGTGCACTGATTCTTGGCCTCCTTGTTTCTCTTCAGATGCTGTCAGCTTCTGGGTGCTTTCACCCTTCTCTCTTTCATTGTTGCCATGCCAGGGGTTACCCGGAGAGGAAGATGGAGTATTGATGGAAGCCCTGTACCTGTTGCCTTCCCTCCATCCTCCCACTCCAGACATGGTTTTGCAAGTACCTTGCCTTGACAGAAACCAGTATTGCTGCTACAGCTAGGGGAACACTCAAAGCTTCCGAGTTGCCAGAAATCAGTTTCAATTCCTGGTAAACTCCTCCCCTTCCTGAATTTTGGGCTGGCAGGCATGCCAATACATGTACTGATTTCTGAGGCATCCACCAGCTGAAGCTCAAGTTTCATAATCTCAATCACAGCACCCAGGCTGACAGGGGTCACAGGGTGACAGCAAAGCTGATCTGCACTAATAAACCAGGTGACAACAGTTTGTGCAGAAGTAGGGGGAGGTCTGACATTTTTCTGATATATTTCTGACATATATTTCTGATATATTTCTGACATTTTTTTAACTCAGCATTTCCCTGTGACAGAGGGAGTAACTCTTGGGAGTGTTATTACCCACCCCCGAAGGTGAAAGTAATGCAGGTTCTTGTTAATAAATCTCTTGAGGCAGATTAGAGTGAAAAAACACTGAATGATCAGTGTTTGCAAATATGTGTGTGTGTATATATATATATATGTATGTATGTATGTATGTATGTATGTATACATATATATATGAACAATCTGGTTGCAATGAAAGCAGCTATATAGCCATTTTGGTTATTATTATCTGTATTAATACACCAATATGAAAGCATAAAGATATCACTTAAAATGTGCAAGGGGAAAAACATGGAAGAAAGAGAAAGAAAGGGTAAGAGTAGGAAGATACATAACTACAGCCCCTGGAATTACAATAAGACTTAAGTGTTGCTCTTGGTCGAAGTGATGATCGAAGGTCTTGATCTATCGGCAGAAGATGTGTTTAAGAGCAGGCAATTTGGCATGGTGAAAAGCACCATCCTTTTTCCACAAGATCTGCCTCTTATCGGCCTCAAAGAGCAGCTGGTAGACTCTGCCAGTTATAAGTTCATCCCTTCTGCCTTTTGCAGACCAGAGGTATGTCATTACATACCCAAAAACTCATCTCATTCTTGGTGAGCTGCAAACCTGGTCTCAGCAAAGCACCCTGGTGCCTTCACAAATGGGCAATTGCTTTGAGTCATGGTCCAGTCTCTCACAAGGGGTTTTTTGGTTTCTATTTTGCATGAGTGTACAAGGAAAGATGAAAGAGAAACTAAAAACTAACCTTCAGGTAAATCTTAAGGCAGTGGTCCTGAAAAAATCAAATTCAGCCTTCTGCTCAATCAGAAAACTTCTTTGACTTTCCTAATTCTACCTGAAGAGAGGACAAATACATGATCCACTTACTGAAAATTGAGATCCTTTGAGTGATCACATCTAACCAGTGGTAGTGTATCTATGGGATCTGCAGGGCTGGAGATAACCAGCAACCTTTTTAATATCATCAGTAAATAAAAGATGTTTGGCAACTTCTAACCCAAGTAAAAAAGAACTAGCAATGCTACTCCAGGTTAATGCAGCAGAAGGAGATCCAGCTCCACTCGTGCAGATCTCCTAACTCTTTGTTCTCAGCTGATCAAGCTACACTAAAAACACACTGCTGGCCAGGTTTCCTGACTGCCTGGATCACCTAGGTCTTACAGCACTCTCCACACATGCAGGGGAAGGAATAAAGTAAAACGCCATATGGAAAGCCACAGGCTGCCTGGTTGTTGTGATGCTCCTTGGGACCTGCCACCAGCAGCTCGCCTCCCAGAGCTTCCATATCCGCAAGGACACATCTCCTAGGGCTGCCCCAAGAAGGCAGCACCAATGATCTCTTTCTCCCTCATCCCTCCTAACATGCTCAGCAGCAGAGATGATCTTCATTTGTACACAAATCATTCTGCAGTCTTTGGAGTGCAAGGGCAGTGTGTTGTAAAGGGGTGAACTGGTGCATAGTCCCTTGCATCACTTCCTTTCACAAATATATATATATGCATTTAATGTACAAGGTGCTGGCAAATGAAAGCAAGCATCAAGCTTATTCCATTCCATAGAACTGGAGGGTCAATACAGGAGACAGCAGAAGCACTAGAAGTAGCACAGAAATTATAGCAAAATCATGTCTGACGACTGCAAAGATTTGTGGGATAACAGCTGTGCCTACAGACACCCTATCTGGTAAAAATCCAGTTTTGACATCTGGAGTGTTCTTACCCACGCAGATTGATGTCTTAATAACCCATATCTAATTACAAAAATTGATTATAATTAATGTGGCCACTGCTGCTGTGTCTTCATAAAATTCAGATCTAGTGTCATTTTCCTGCTGAAATTTAGAAACTTTTGGCTGAAAACAGTAACTGTAGAATCAAAATATTTATAGCTATATTACTCAAAAAAGATGGATGTGAAATGAGCCCAAGCACTAGAAGCTTGATCACTTTTGTTGCTTCCATGCTAATTTATTTCATAGCTCTTGTGGACAACCCAAACTAACTCTACCCAAGACAATACCCAAGTCTGGCTCTAAGGACAGCTCATGCCAGACATGACCCCCAGAAAGTCAGTATTAACTAGTGTACCAGATTTACCTTGTCCACCCTAAACATCTCTTCATCACTATCCCAGCAATCTCAAACTCACCCCGCAGCCTCTGTGTGATACTCCAGTGGATCATTCATCAGCCCTTCAGTTTCATGCTACTAAAACACAACATTTCACAGGCTGCAACCCAGCTCTATCATTGCTTCAGACACATTGAGCTGAAAGAGCCCCAAAATAGTAATCAAGTTCCAGCATCATGGCAGTACCACTTAAGGCTCTCAGGATGCTTGGAGTTTGGTAAGGACATGCTTATTGCTTCCACTAGGATCCATCCAGCCACTTAGCTACTTCTAACCTAGTGGAGGTTAGTTTTAAGCAGCATATATACAAGTCTGTAGTAGCTGTGTTTAGAAAAAAGGATCAGCCTCCAGCCCTGTTTTATTTAGTGTCATAGATGTTAAACAGATGCTAAAACATCAGAATGCCAGTGTATTCAGTCTCACAAAACACAACCCAATCACAAGCTTCCCAAATCTATAAGGTTTCCCAATTCCATAAGGATTTTAACTCAGTACTTATATTTTTCTAGACCCACCAAATACTGGCTGCCAATTCTATCTAAGGGGCTATATTTATAGTTGCTGCACATCCCTAACTGGATCTGATGCTGTGATGCACTGGCCCTTGCTATCAAGTGAGTACACACACAGTTGGTGGCTCCCTCCCTCCCCACAAGTGGGATAGAGGAGAAAACAGGAAAAGGAGTGAGAAAATTCATCTGTCAAAATAAAGCTTTTTTGTCTGTAAAGCTCTGTTGCCTCCAGCTATTAAAAACCATTTTTTAAATTTTATTTTGTGGGAGACAGAAAGACAGAAAATGATTTTTCTTTCGCTCTGAGAAAATTTCTCAGTGGACATGTGAAATATTAAGAATCGTCATATTTCCTCCCTCACCTGTGTTTCTCATGAAATTGCAATAATAAACCAAAATAACTTCTGTGGAGGAACATTTTGTACTGAACCTTTATTTCCAATTCTGCAGCATCAGGAACTATACCAAAAATGAGAGGTATTGGAGACCTTTTCTCACTATAAACGATCTGGGTCAGCCAAGTCATCATTTCTTTGGGAATGTTAGATAGGATAAAACCCTCCTCTATAAAAGAAATAGTATTAAAACCTCCATAAAATTAAACCAGTGTAATGAGTCCTATCTTTCCTTCTCTGAAGACAACTGTTCATTCTTTGTTATTTCACTGTTGGTTGATGGCATTTTAAGGTTTTGCATTTTTAAGGGTCTTTTTTCCACAACCACAGACACGTTTCATTAAAGGCTAAGATTTTTATTTAATCTAAGGATACTAGAAGCCTAAAGCCTGAAGAAAAGCATCAAATTGAAGGAGACCTTTGAAAGGAGAGCCAGGACAGGCAAGCATTTATACCGCCCACTCTATTTTTCTCAGAAGCCAGGAAATTGTATCAGAAGGCCTTGATTGCTGGAGAAATGCTTTTTCCTTCGTCATCAGCACTAAACCACTTAGTCTAACAGCTGAATATGATGCTCAAGGGTTCACATGCAAAGCTTTTTTCTCTGGATATTTTGGCTAAGTAGGTAAGAAACACAGCTGAATATACTACAGAGCATATTGAGCAATTGATCATTGGGAACATAGCTCTATATTTTAGAGCAATGGCAAATTATGGCAAATATCCCTAGAGGAATATCTATAATTAGCAATGCTTATTGAGTTGTTATACCATGACGGCAAAATAAGAATTTAATTTTTAGAGGTGCATTTTACTTTACCAATGTTTTTTTCTGGCTGAGTACTCTACTTTTCTGTACAATTAGGATGATCGCTTTCTGCAGGGTTGATAAAACTAATTGTTACAGCTGAGGATGCTGGAGAAGAGAAATTTCTCTGCTCCCTGGCAAGGAGCCCCAGGAGGAGGGTAAAATGTCAACATTTGGTTAAGATTTATTTTTGCTTAGATTGAGGACTGGAATTTGTCAGGTTCAGCAGAAAGAATGCCATTACCTTTGACAAGTCAGTGTGTGTGGATGTGTTGGGTAATCTATTTAGGAGATGTAAAATGCTGCACACACTTCCCATTTTATTGCAAAAAGCTGAAATTGACGGTACCTGACAAAAACTATAATCTTCCACCCTCTAAAAGAAAATTGACTCTTGCTTTCTCTACAGTATTACAGCATTACAGTAGGTCCACCTCTCCTTTAGCTAATACTGCTTTAGCAAACAGAAGTGGGGATTGAAAATATAATTAACCTGGTGTCCAGAATTTGTGTTTTGAGGTCCAGTGCCTGAAGATTATTGCTACATTTTAAGAGCAGCTCTTTAGCCTGGAGGGTGCTATGCATATCTATATTGCTATATAAATAACGCTAAATAATAAATCAGGGCTGTTTGAAAGGTCTTATGTTATAAAAACAATCAGGACTACAAATGAATGATTTATATCATTAAAAATGCCTGCAAAAAATCTATCGGAAAAGGCAAAATTAACTGGCAAACTGCACAAATGGTATCAGAAACAAAGATCTCTAAGAGCTATTGCTCCAGCTGTATGTCCAGAAAGAAAAAGTCCTTGAGAAGTAATAATAATAATAATATTTACTACATTCTT